TGACATACTGCTGTATTATACCCTGAACAGATTTGTAGTACGAGAAACGAAGCACACAGGTCAATCCCAATAATTTCAAGCTTATCACCTGCAAGGACTGAAGCATCCCTGAGAAGATCCTGCTAAAACCAGCATTCCTATGTTCTAGTAAAGGTAAAGGTTCCCTTGCTCGAAAGCCAGTCGAATCCGATTCTAGGGTTGTGGTGCTCATCTCCGTTTCCAAGCCGAAGAGCCAGCGCTGTCCGAAGACGTTTCCGTGGTCATGTGGCCGGCATGACTAAACACCAAGGCGCACGGAACGCTGTTACCTTCCCACCAAAGTGGTACCTATTTATCTACTTGCAATTTCTTGTTTTGGAACTGCTAGGTTGGCAGGAGCTGGAACTAGAGACGGGAGCTCACTCCGTCATGCGGCACACTCAGGTCTCGAACTGCTGAACTACCGACCTTCCACAGCCTGCAGTTCAGCGTCTTAACCACGACTAAAACTAGCATTCCTATCTTCTAGTAGTTCCACATATTTTGATGTGGCTATGCACAGGATTGAGCACAGGATATTTTGCATACAAGTTAGGCTCACTAGAGGTTCCAGAGAGGAAGCCAAGAGATTTTTTTAAGATTTACATAGCAAAAGGACTGCTCTTGTTCATATTCAAGACAAAATTACCCGCCTATCCTCAAAAGCACCACAGTTATTTTAATCACTACAGCAACTCTCTGAAAACAGAACATATGGATCTATGCCTTTGGTATACACAGAACATAGGCCCATCTAGTTGATTATTACAGTAGTCACTGCGGGCACATGTACGCTACAAACTGGATGAATGGTCATGTCTACTCTCCAAAGGTTCCTAGAAAACAGTAGGCTGTAGTTGTGAGTGTGTGTGATTTGGGGAATCTCAACACGCTCACAAAACTACAGTTCCCATGATTCCTTCAAGGGAAGCCATGGCAGTGGTATAAAAGCCACTATATATCTGGTGCATAGGTGTGGTGTTATGACATCATTCATGGAGGAGGGGGCTTGGAAAACATGAATCATAGAATCATAGAGTTGGACGGTCCCTCCAGGGCCATCTAGTCCAACCCCCTGCATAAGGCAGGAAATTCTCAAATACCTCCCCTCTCACACTCGCAGTGACCCCTGCTCCACGCCCAGAAGATGACAAAAAGCCTCCAGGATCCCCAGCCAAACTGGCCTGGAGAAAAATGGCTTCCTGACCCCAAAGTGGCGATCGGCATTTCCCTGGACGTGTAAGAAATGAGTGAAAGTAAATCCTAAGTAGGCGGGGGGTATAGCTGCAGTCAATTCTCCATGTCGCTCATGGCATCTGGTTTAACCCCTGTCGCCACTACCACTCTGAACCACTTTGAAAGTCCCACAATCCCCAGTATTGCCTTTTTTGTTGGGGGATGGAGATCCCCACTCCTCCTCCACACGAAGCCGGCTCGTCGCCACTACCAATCTGAACCACTTTGAAAGTGGTTTACATCAGGGAAACTACGGGAATTGTCGTTTTTGAATTCCCCTCCTTACTATAGCCCCTGTCTCATGTGGCTTTTTGTGGAGGCAGGTCCCACAAACCCCAGTATTGCCTTTTTTGTCGGGGGATGGAGATCCCCACTCCTCCTTCACACGAAGCCGGTTGGGTGACCTAGGGTCAGTCACAAGTTCTCTCAGAACTGTTCTCTCAAGAGCAGTCGTCGAGAGCTCTCTCAGCCCCACCTACCTCACGGGGTGTCTGATGTGGGAAGGGGAAGGGAACGGAGACTGTAAGCCACGCTGAGACTCCTTCAGGTAGTAAAAGGCAGGGTATAAACCAAACCTCTTCTTCTTCTTCATTGACAGCTGAAAAGCAGCTTGGATCTGACCCACAGTTCACACCAGCCCACTCCAGTTTCCTGTTTCACTATTGCCCCGTTCACAAGTTACAGTGAACACACACATAATCCGTGTAGCGTACACTTGGTTTGTCTTTATATGTGTGTAGAATAATTCTGAGGCTGCATTCAGTACATGTGCAACTGAATGTGTGGTTGCGACATCACCTGTATCCACTGGTTTCATTTGCAAAGCAAACATGCTTTGGTTGTTTCTTACAAGCAGAGGTGCACACGGAGATGTGGGTTTGATATGTGTTCACTCTAACACGGGAACAGGACTTCTCTCCGCCATAGGAAAGCAGCCTGCAAGTTCCACACCTTTTAGCCTCACCCAGGGCCGGCTCACCCACTAGGCAAACTAGGCATTCGCCTAGAGCGCCAGGTATACAAAACCCAGAGGCCCCCTACTGTTTTAAATTACATCAGCTGGTCTCAGAAAAATTTAAAATATATACGCCTTTTTAATATTTGAAATCTTTTTTATATTGTGTTTTTATTTGAGGCCCCAGCAGATTGTGAGGCCCTAAGCTGTAGCTTATTTAGTTTATGCGTAAATCCAGCACTGCGTGTAGCGTACACTTGGTTTTTTCTTTATATGTGTGTAGAATAATTCTGAGGCTGCATTCAGTACATGTACAACTGAACGTGTGGTTGCGACATCACCTGTATCCAGATAGCAGCCACTGGTTTCATTTGCAAAGCAAACATGCTTGGGTTGTTTCTTACAAGCAGGGGTGCTCACAGACATGTGGGTTTGAGATGTGTTCACTCTAACACGGGAACAGGACTTCTCTCCGCCATGGGAAAGCAGCCTGTAAGTTCCGCACCTTTTAGCCTCACCCACTGTGCTTTGTGACAGAAACAAGGGCTTTTATATAAACAAAGAAATATAGGCTTCTTTGGGAGGTGGTGGCGGGCTCTACTTCTCTGGAGGTTTTTAAGCAGAGGCTCGATGGCCATCTGACAGCCATGCCGATTCTGTGAACTCAGGCAGATCACGAGAGGGAGGGCAGGAAGGGTTGCCTCAGTGCTTAGTTCTCGTGGCCTTTTCTTACACGCCCAGGGAAATCCCGATGGCTACTTTGGGATCAGGAAGACATTTTTCTCCAGGCCAGTTTGGCCAGAGATCTTGTTGTTGTTGTTGTTGTTGTTTTGCCATCTTCTGGGCATGGAGTAGGGGTCACTGGGGGTGTGTGGGGGAAGAGGGAGGTAGTTGTGAATTTCCTGCATTGTGCAGGAGGATGGACTAGATGACACGAGAGGTCCCTTCCAACTCTGTGATTCTATTATTTTAAATTAAGGCTTTTAATTTTAATTGAGCTGCGGTGGCTCAAGTGGTTAAGACGCTGAACTGCAGGCTGTGGAAGGTCAGTAGTTCAGCAGTTCGAGACCCGAGTGCCGCATGACGGAGTGAGCTCCTGTCTCTAGTTCCAGCTCCTGCCAACCTAGCAGTTCGAAAACAAGACATTGCAAGTCGATAAATAGGTACCACTTCGGTGGGAAGGTAACAGCGTCCCGTGCGCCTTGGTGTTTAGTCATGCCGGCCACATGACCACGGAAATGTCTCCGGACAGCGCTGGCTCTTCGGCTTTGAAACGGAGACGAGCACCGCAACCCTAGAGTCGGACTCGACTGGCTTTCGAGCAAGGGACACCTTTACCTTTACCTATAACAGACGAAGTCCCCCTGGGCACGTGCAGAGTACCTTCCCCCCTGCACTTTGAACTGAGGGCCAAGATTCCTTGGATAACAGGTGCCAGAAGGACTTAAAAGGTCTGTGATTAGCACCTGTTCCACAACGTGAACATGGACAGAATGCGAAGGCTTTTATATAACAGAAGAAGCCCCCTGGAAAAATGCAGAGTACCTTCTCCCCTGCACTTTGAACTGAGGGTCAAGCTTCCTTGGATAGCAGGTGCCAGAAGGACTTAACAAGTCTGTGATAAGCATCCGTTCCACAACGTGAACATGGACAGAATGCGTAAGACACAGTAGAATTTTTTTTTTTAATTCTGGTGGTGTAAAGAGAACCATTCCCTCTTCTTGGCAGTCCTCCACCTCTGAAGGTTTCAGGAAGGTAGCCTTGCAGTTCTGCAGTAGAAGAGCTGGGTTCGAGTCTAGCACCCCCTTAGAGACCAAGAAGATTCTGGGGGGATTAGCTTTCGAGAGTCAACATTTCCTTCGTTAGAGGTCCTTTCCGCACTTGGATCTCATCCCTGGTTTTATCGGGATTCAACTCGCAACACAATATCTTGCATTCATCCCTGGTTATTACAGCATCCGTTTATCCCGGGAAAAGTGTCGGGTGAAACCGGAGTGACCTTAATGCAATGTGGAAACAAAAAATACCCCGAGATAATTACAGGGGTGAGCTCTCGTGTAGTGTAGAATGTAAAAATACCCCGAGATAATTACAGGGGTGAACTCGTGTGTAGGGTAGAATGTAAGTTCGGGGACAGGGATGAACCAGGATTTAAGGTCTCGTGCGGAAAGGACGAGAGATGCCTGACCGTACCTGCTTCACATTTGCCAACAGCCTTGGCCGCGCTGTGAGAATGCTGGCAAGACGCGAGCATTGCTGCGCAAGAGAGCAAAACCGGGAAGTGTTTGTGTGTGTGATCTTTCGAGCCCCTCGCTTTCCGGCAGGAAATCAGGCAGGCCGTCAAGGCCTGTGGAGTCAAATACACATCTGAGCCTGCCAACGGGGCCTTTTGTTTTTTCAGCAAACAGATTAACAAGCCTCTGAAGAGGCCCCCAAGTGTGTCCAGAGCTTAAGAGCCCTTAAAGCGTTACCTGTACAAAATTACAGCCCCGTGGAGAGACTCGGAACACAAAGACCCCTTAAGCCTCTTGTTGGGGGAACACGCCTCCTTTCCCCCCTGGATTTTACACCAGGGGACTCGTTGCTTCTTCTGTGTTTTCGGGTATAGAAAGTGCCCCCTTTCAAGACTGTTTTCAGAAGGCACCCCCTCGCGAACCACGGTTCCGCACGGCACGCATGCAGAAGCAATTCGGTTTCTGATGATAAAAGCAAACGAACAAACATATAACATATATAAAAAATCTGGAATCGCTACAGGCTGGCTTTTGATATTTTTCATTTTATTAGCTGCTAGAAGTTTTCGCAGAAACTTTTCTTTTTTTGGAAAAAAAAGATTTGTAAAAAATATGAGTTAGCGTTCGCCTGATTTATCGTAAAAATAACAACAGGATATCTTGCATCTTCCCGAAAATTCGCTAGGGGATGTCCTTTTCGGTGGCAGACCCCCCTGGATTGAAACAGAGAGAGGCTCTCCTAGAGTGACCGCTCGAAACATGCGGTGGATTGCACTGCACCCACGGAGCAAACAAGAGTGTCCCCGTTCACTTCAGTAGCAAGCAGTGCTCAATGCGCAATTGCAATGGGCACCTGGTGTGCAACGGGAGCCACTGCATGGGCCAAAGGGGCTCTTCTTCTTCTGGACTGTGTGTTACTTTATACACCATCAGAATCCCGCATCGTGCTGAATCCCGGGATCTGCACGGGTTATGCAAATCGCTAATTCATTTGCACAACTGACGCTGCATTGCTACTATATTGCATACAATTACCCTTCTTCCATTACTACGGGACAGGAACTAGGAGCTGAGTCGGCCCTGCCCCGCTCACCTTTGGCAGCCTTATTCTGCCACTCCCTTGGCTTCTGTGATTGCACGGGGAATTGATTCCCATCACCATGCGGGCCAGAAGCTTGATTGAAACAAAGGTGGAATAAAAAATTTCCCCGGGCGCTCAGTTCTGCAGCTCAAATCAATCCTGTGCTCCCCCCACCATTTTTTTTTGTTTGCTGCGCAATCACAAAATGCACATAGCCCTGCTTCTGCTGGGACAATGGAGGTCACTAAAGGACCACAGTTTGTCCTCCCACAAACCTGTCAATCTCCACCGGTCCTGAAAGACTGGCCAGACTTCAACCTTCCAGAACGCATTGATCGTGTGCATATGCTCAGTGCATGCTGAAGTTGATTTCTCATGTTGCTACATGCACATGTTCTACACGCGTGACACTAATCACATACCTCCTGGCTATGCACAGACCACACAAGAGTGGCAGGTTTGCCCTTGCCAGCATCATTTCGTTGCACCCCCGAATATTCTCTCCGCAAGGAAAGATTCTGATGCGGCACTTGCCGAACAACGACCCGTGGGTTTGGGGCTCGGCTCCCCAATCCAGTAAGTTCTGCTTTGCACATGGGCCCCAGTTTTTTTTCCCCATTCTGCCGGGTCTTGAGCCAAATTTCTGTGCAGGGCTTGGGACTGCCCATCCCGAATGGAAATCAAGGGGGCGTCCGCAAGAGAAGAACTTAGAGGACTGGAATGGATCCTTTGCCGTCATGCGCATCTTTCCTGCACACGCTTGTGCGGAAATTTTGTGCTTAATCTATATTAGCCAGGTTTATTCTGAATGCTGTTACATCAGATCTGAGGTTTTTTTGCTTTTCTTTTGATGTTTGTTTTCTTTTTTAAAAAAATTCTTAAATATTTTCTCTCTACTCCATAAGTGTACATTTTTTTTTTCTCTTACTGGGAAGAGGTAATATAAATTAAAAAGAGGAAGAAATGCTCCGGGGAGATCCAACGGCCCTGCCCTAGAGCTGCAAACGCTGCAGCGTTCAAGAGGGAAGGAAGGGGCCTTTCTGGGGGGGGGTCTAAGTGGGCTATCTGCCCTGCCCCCCCAGTCCCCCCCATAGCAGACTCCATCTTCACCTTTGGTGAAGCGGTCTTGTGATCAGTCCCACCCAAAGTCCTGCCCCGTCATCTGATAGAACTTCATGTTGAAGGGTCGGTAGAACTCCTGAAGGCGCTGGACAACCTGTGGGTCGATTTTGGGATGTGGCCGCCCCTTGGACTTCCCCAGGCACCGTGGCCTGCTGCTCCCTTCTGGCTTCTTCAGGCACGGGAAGCCCTTGGTCTCGTTGAAGTAGAAGTGCTTGTCCGTCACCACTCTCTTGAGGCCCAGGAAGTCCTGGACGCGGCCCATCTCCCCAGCTGGGTCGCTCACCAGTCTCTCCCCGCTGACAAAGAGAAATTTCGAGAGCGGGAAGTACCTCAGCCAGTTGTCGAGGTGCTTGGCGTAAATGCCGATCCGCACGGCGCTCCAGGTGGTGTCGATGAGGCCGGTGCTGAGGTTCTTGAAGGCCAATGCTTGGAAGGTGGGGATAGTGGGGTTTTTGGACAGGGTCTGTGTATAGTCTGAGATGGCCCGCGTCACCGGGTTGCGCACCACCACGATAAGCTTGGTGTCCTTGGACATGTTGTAGATGCGCCGGGGGGCTTCCTTCGTCACAAAGTAGCTTGGCGTCTTCTCCATGGTGATCTGCCCCTCGAGTGTCCTCGGCATCAGGTTTCTGTGGAAATAAAGGATACTGGTCAGGGAAAAACCGAGCGGTTACGACTTCACCTCTTTCTCCCTCTCTCACACACAGACTTTGTGAAATAGACTCTCAAGTCCAGGATATCGAAAGTTTTGACTCCAGCAAAGAAGGTTCCTCCTGACACGAGTTGGGTTTTGCCATCTCTAAGGACTGACTAGTCCCGACTAGCATAGTCTTGTCACAGCTTGGAAGCTAAGCAGGGTCAGCCCTGGTTAGTACTTGGATGAGAGACTAGGGTGGATGGGACTAGGGGTGAGTAGGGTAGTGTGGTGGCCCTGTCCGCAGATGACACAAAATTATTCGGGATGGTGAAAATCAAGACTGACTGTGAAGAGCTCAAAGAGAACCTCCACAAACTGGGTGAGTGGAAAATGAAGTTCAGTGTTGGTAAATGTAAGGTGATGCACATTGGTTTAAAAAATGTCCCAACTTTAAGTCTACGCTAATGAGGTCCGAGGAGCTGCGGTGGCTCAAGTGGTTAAGATGCTGAACTGCAGGCTGTGGAAGGTCGGTAGTTCAGGAGTTTGAGACCCGGGTGCCGCATGACGGCGTGAGCTCCCGTCTCTAGTTCCAGCTCCTGCCAACCTAGCAGTTCGAAAGCAAGAAATTGCAAGTAGATAAATAGGTACCACTTCAGTGGGAAGGTAACAGCATTCCGTGCGCCTTGGTGTTTAGTCACGCCGGCCACATGACCACGGAAACGTCTTCGGACAGCGCTGGCTCTTCGGCTTTGAAACGGAGATGAGCACCACAACCCTAGAGTCGGATTCGACTGGCTTTCGAGCAAGGGAACCTTTACCTTTACTTTAATGAGGTCCGAACTTGCTGAGACTGAGTGGGGAAAAGATCTCGGTGTCGTAGCGGATAGCTCTACGGAAGTGTCAACCCAGTGTGCTGCAGCAGTGAAAAGGGCAAACTCTATGTTAGGGATTATTAGGAAAAGGATTAAGAATAAAATGGCCGATATCCTAATACCCCTGTATAGATCTATGGTGTGGCCTCATTTGGAATACTGCATACAGTTTTGGTCACTGTATCACAAAAAGAACATTGCAGAGCTGGAAAAAGTGGATTAGGGCAACCAAGATGGTGAGGGGGTTGGAGCACTTTCCCTAGGAGGAAAGGCTGAAGAGTCTGTCCATCGGGCCCCAAGCATGCCGAGATTTAAGCGCTAGTCAATTTTTTAAAAATCCCCTTTGGCTTTTTTTATTTCCTCAAGACTCCTGGAGGCAAGTAACTACAAACTAGGATTGGGGCCATGATGAAAGGGAAGCAGGGGTTAAAACCTGTACAATTCTGCTAAGCCAAAGCCAGAACCCTGTTATGTGTTATCCCCTCATTTTATTGCTTACCGCTGCTGGTCCTGTTGGTGCAATTTGTGACTTTTAGTGGTTTTAATTGCTGTTCATGGAAGCCATGTCAGAAAGAGCAAATGCAAACTTGAGGCCCACTGGGCCTCAATTTGCTTTGGGCCTTAGGAAGATGGGTTTAACCCTTCAACGTCTACTCGGAATCCTCCCGGGAGTTTAACTGTGTGGTTATCTCCCCTCTGAATTCAAAATCCTGGATGTACAACAAGGGATGTGCCCTCCCCTACGGATATTCTTTGTAGCTACAGAGAAACGATAAACTCTTCAGATATCGTTTGAACAGAGCAGAGGCAAGTCCACTTTAGGGTCTGTGAGTGGTTTCCTCTCTCTTGGGCTCTTTCTGAAATAAACAATAAAAACCTCTATCCCACTTTGAAAAGCGAGATGCCCTCCATGTATTCTCGGTAAAACTAGAAAACAAGATCTCTGGATCCCTGCCACCTCCTCAGAGTTTAATAATACTCACAGGAGTTATAAAGATAACACTTTGCACAGAGCCAGGAGTTTACAATCCAGGCGCCATGGGAAGAGGGGGAAGAGAAAGGGGAGGGAATGACACATCCTGATCTCCAGCTACAAAGACCAACCACCCTTCTCCAAAGGCAATGGGCAAACACTGGCACCTTGGCCAATTGACTCCGGTTCCCACCATAACACATCCTCACTCGAAGAAAAGAACTTTTGTTCGGGGGCCTTGTACGGTGTTTCCCAACACCAGTTTTGTTCTGGTGCCCCTTTTTCCACGGCAAGTCAACATTTTTTTTTTAAAAGGCCTTTTTAATTCCATATTAAAACACAGCAGCCTTATCGGGCAACTTATCTTCGAAACATGAGAGCTCCAGAATTCCCCCCCCCTTCATTCTGGCCTCAGGCCACAGAGCCGGCAGTAAAAACTAGCTAAGATAATATTCCGTTTGACAAGAGATCTCACCCTCGCGGGTCTGGCAAAGTCAAAGATATCAAAATTATATGCGTTTCTTTCCCTCGTAGGGAGACGATAATCATTTTTTTAAAAACACAGCTGGCATTTGAGGTACGAATGCATCTGTTATTGGGCACAGACGGATCTGTAACATAAAGTTGCCGAGACGCTAAGGTTGATTTGCTGAGGACAAGATGCAAAACTGCAGAGGCGGCGGGCCGACCTGAATGATTCCCTAGCCTGCTTTAATAACGGTCCTTCTCCCATAAAGCAGTTTGGGTACATGCGACAAACTATTCTGATACGTTTCGGACTGTTGGCCACACTGCCCTCCTCTCCGCGCTAAGATTTCCTAGCAAAATAGGTTCCCTACAAAGAATTTCTAACTTCCTCAAGGACGGTAACAAAGGAAAATCCATGGGGTCCTTCCTTCCCTCAGCTTCATGCGTCCTTTCCTCCTCTTTCCTCCAGGCCTCCCTTCCCACTCAAGCATTCACCTCTACCACCGATATTTTCTCTCCCCTTCAGCAGATGGATCTCCCCTTCAGATTCTCACAGCGTCCTCGTAGTCTACCCTCTTTCCTAACAGCAACAGGATGCGGCCTGTCACGCCAACCCCCCCGTCATCTTCCCCGGACCACTAAAACGCTTTGCCTCCCTCCCAGAAACACAACGGTTTGTCAATGTGCTACTGGCGACACAGCCACCTTTAAGCAATCAGGACGCTCAGAAACACACCATGACCTCACAGCAGCTGAACCAATGGCAAAAGAGGAAGGCGCTTCATTGGAGAGGTGACTATCACAAACTCCACAGTGACCAGCGACAGACAAGATACAGAGCTGGTGGGATTGCCAGACCCCCGGCCTGGGCAGGGGTTCCCCTGATTTTTCAGGCTTCTGCCAACCTGGCCGGCAAGGGAATCCCCACCCCCAAACAGGGACACCACTGTGTGATGATGTCATATGAAAGTGATGTCATCACATCAGGGACATCGCCATGCGACACTCTGGGGGAATTTCAGACAGACGATATATTCCGGAAGAGGAACGGTTCTCAAACGGTTTCTGGTCTGTCATTTCAGACAGAACCCGTTTGAGAACCGGTTTCCTTCCGGAATATATTTGCTATTTCATACACAAACGAATCTGTCCCGTTTAGGAAACGGGACTGAAGCATTTTACCTGTCAACCGCTTCCAAGTAGTCTTCAGTTCCCTCTCCTGGTTCTGATGCGCTTTTTCCCGCCGTTCTCCGGCTTTTTTGTTTTTTGGAATAGCATTATATCAACCCTATTGGAATGCCTGGAGTGTTTTGTTATAGTGCTATAGCGCTATAACGCTATAAAGCGAACGTTAAAAAAAAAGCCGGAGATCGCCCGCGCGGGCGAAAAATTGCACGGAAAAAGCGGTGCAGTCTGAAATGGCAAACCGCTTCTGATCCGGCTCATTTCCGGTATGGGAAAGCCCTGTGTGAAATGGCAGCCCTGTTCACTTCAAAACGGATCATTACCGGCTTGAAACCGGGTGAAACTGGGTAATGTGAAATTCCCCTCTGGTTTGAGGTCAAAAAGAGGGCAAAATCCTATGGTAAAACCACTGAGTTTCGCCCTTAAAACAAGAGTGTCGCTAAGCAATGTCCCTGACCTGATGACATCACTATGTTGGGGACGTCATGCTCAGCAATATCGCCCCGTCCCCCCACTTCCAGAGAGCTCCTTTCCACCCCCCACTGGTAGGAGGCAAGGACCTGGCAATCCGAAGAGCAGGGGTCACCGACGTGATACACAGGGGTGCCACAGTGCTTCTAGATACCTTTTCTGGGGTCTGTCAAATGTTTTCAGAAAGTGGGCGGGGCTTTCGCTAGCAAGGCTTCTTATTGGACACTGGAGATTCTATTGGCTCTGCAGGCGTTTAAAGATGTTCCTTTGGCAGCAGGCACCATCCCAGCACAGAGATTTCCTCCGTGTCACTCAGTGTAAGACGCGGCAGTCATTTTGTGGCTGGCTCCGCCTCCGGTGGCAGCCATTTTGTGGCTGCGCACACCACATTGTGCCAGAACGCCACAGGTGCCCACAGGCTCAAAAGGTTTTGGGACCCCGATATAGAGCACTACAAAATAAATAATTTTCCGTATCTGGCAGACAAGAACCTGGACACTGCTCTCTCTTCCTCTCTCGCATCTCTTTCGTTGCACATCCACGGACTATTCGACTTCCCACACATGTCCGGATCCTTTTCAAAACACCCCAGTCCTCCTCCTCGTCTCCCCATCCCACGCCCAAAGGTCCCACAGGTCAAATATTAAAGCTCTGGTGTTTTCAGATCCGAACTTTGGTCACGGGACGTTTCCGGGTGGGCGGTGACGGTCGTGAACTTTATTGCGACAACCCGGTCGGGAGGGTCGCCAAAGGAGCCTTTCTAAAAAGCACCCGGAATTGTTCCATGTCAATTATTTTAATGGCAATCATATGCCAGAAATTCAGAGAAGACAGGCCGGAGGGGGAGGGAGAGGAGGAACAGAAATGCGTGAGAAGTGACCCCCCCCCAAATCTTCCTTCCCCAGAGACAGGCTTGCTTGCAGGTTTTGGATTTTCACGGAGTGCCTGTGTGGGTCCTCCCATTTTGGGGGAAATCCAAAACCTTCTTGCAAACTCACTCGATTTCGGTCCCCACCCAAGGAA